AATGCCTCTGAACTTTACCAAAAAATACGTATGTGATGTTCTCGAATGTAACACACTAACTACACTAGCTATTGGAACCGATTTAAGAATCAGAACAGGCCTTACAGCTGTTTTCATTGTTTTGGAAAATATGCGTGGCTTCAAATCCCCACAGGCCAGGATTTCAGAGCACTGACAAGGTAGCACAGGAAACTCGTGACGCTACTGACTACTGGATTTCATCGTTGAGGGCACTCAGCTCACACAAGTTAATACATTCACTGGATGTAATACGTGATTTTGTTACCTTTTGTAATAAGAGAATCTCCATCTTGTGATAAAGAAGGCTGTTCTGGGACAACAATGCCACCACCTCCAACAGTGCTTTCTGAGAGCAGTTCAAACTGACTCGTGTTTGCTCCTCACCTTCAATCCTGAGGAAATATATGCTTAGTTCTTGCTAAGAAACTAGGTAACACTTCAGCAGCGTATTAATATAAAACAAAGCTGTTCTCTCCCAGTGGCTATTCCACCACAGAGAAAGGAAAAAAGAAGGCATTGTAATAGCCTAGCCTAGTCTAGTCTACTCTCTTGGAAGAAACAGATATGGGAATTTAACGCAACTGTCCTCATCAAATTTCCTGTCAATACTCTTCTTTACCACCTCTAATCTATGTGATGCCACACTGAGTTGCTGTAACAATTTGGTATAACATAGATTGATCAAAAAGGGATGATTATGCCTCAAGTTTCTAGATCTGTTGCTGAAAAAAACCAGCAGCAACGCACAGAGGAACAAAGCGATGACAACAGTAAAATCCAATTCCAGCAACTTACTGTTTCAAACAACAGAAAGAATAAAATATTAAACAGATACCTGGCAGGGAGAGTAGTGAGACAGGAGATTTCTTGGATGTCTTTGATTTTGGACAGCACCGTGTCCAGATGCTCAGCGTTACCTGCGCAGAATTCTACTCGGTGAGTGCCCTCAGCTGGGTAGCTTGGCGCAGTTGATGGATGCAGTGGGACAGAAGTGCAGGCACCTGAGAAAACAGTACAAGATTGCTGTTTTGTAAAGCTGGATAAGTATCCTAATACTGATTTAGCACATATCCTAAAGAGATGCAATAAAAAGACGCAAATTTTGCACTTGAATCCATTTTCCCTGACCAGAACCGAGGACTTCTCGCCCTGTTGTCTTCATTATGCACAGTCTATTTTAAAGTGCAAAGAAGTTGATGGATATATATTATTTGTCATTCTTAATGCCGTCTGTTTTATCCTAAGAATTGTACAAAACCAAAATAGTTTCTGGTTTGTAAATCAGGCTAGAAAAGACATAGCTGTTTTCATTTGAGCCACAATACAAGACAAAAATCTAAAAGCATTTCAGATATCTTAAGTCCTTTGCAAACAATGAGATCTCGCACTTTATAAATTAAAGGTGGTGATTTAAAGCCAGTGGCCTAAACCTTGCGACCAATGAATGGACAATAAATATGCTGCACCAGTTCCGACTACATCCAACAGTACAGTCATCCATCTGAAAATGTCCTCCAGTGTTTGTATCTGGTATTCTTCACCAAGATAAATTCCCTAAAATATGATTATGGTATTTAGAAGTACTAGAAGAATATTTGGGGGGGGGGAGAGGTCCTCAAATCATACCCGTAAAAGCTGGAAGCAAGGAAAGGGAAGGTCCCCACATAAAATAGCATATACTAATGAATAATTTTAACCTTTTTTTTGGTTTGTTTTTCACGGAATCTCACCGAGTCCCTTTGTTAGCCAGTTATTGACTCCATGAGGTATGGCATCGTATGCTGTATGCGGAGAGTAAATCCCAATTCTGTGCTCCAGGGCTTGGACCACCAGCCGTTCCTTCCAGGTCTTCCACGTTACTCGCTTGAGCGGCGTGAATATAGGAGGGTGGTAAGAAAGAATAAGGTCTGCCTTCTTCTGCACTGCCTCTTCCATCACCTCCTGAGTCAGATCGTTGGTGAGGAAAAGGGTGTCCACAGTGTGGGGAGGACTCGGTTCCACCAGCAACCCCACATTGTCCCAGCTTTCAGCCAGAGAGAGGGATGCAAAGTCATTCAGGGCAGAAAGGAGCTCCCCGAGATTCATGAGGGAGCGTGAGGGCAGGTGGCCCAAAGCACGGATGCAGTGGAGAGGCCGGCGAACCAGCTGTGTGCCAGGCAGCAGCATGCAGCTATCTGTAGAAAGAGTGAAAAAAAAAAGGCAGGAATAAGCCTAGGTAATTCCCTGGCTGAGTTCAGAGTGTTGAGGCTGCGAATGCCGCCTC